CCCCCCCTCTTTTCTTTGGCTTTTGTCAAGATCCCAATCCCCACTCCATCTCCTCCATCCGCATACCACTAACTCCCTCGCCCTCTCTCCCGCAGCCGTCACACACGAACGCCTCAAACAAACAACAACGCACATCACCCAACCCGTCATCTACCGCGAGATCCACAACCACGACATCTACCCGCGCATCCAGCCCGTGCTGCAGACCGAAATCCTACCTGCACGGCACTTCGTCCCGGACCCGGCGGATCCCGAGGGAAAAGGATTGCTTGAGGTTGAAGGGGATGAGGTTCCGGAGCGCTGGAGGAGGAGGGAGTGGGAATGGAATAGGGTTTTGCGGGGAGGTGGTGAGATAGTTACGGCGAAGGAGGGGAAGGACGGTCATAATAGGTTTGAGGAGAAATCTTCCTCTACCACCGGTTCGGATTCGTCTGCAAGTCCCACCAGTACACCTATCCCGTCTTCTACCTTCTCCTCCAAGCCCCGCATCGTCGACGAGAGGAAGTACACCACACCCGATGGTTTCGAGCGCACCGAGACCACGATCGTGCATCCGGCGCGGTTGGAAGATATGCGGGACTACCGTGGGCCGAGGGAGACGGTGCACTTTCATGATCGGCGAGGAGCTAGCTGGGGGAAAGACGAGGAGCAGCAGCAGCAGCAGCAGCAGCAGCAGCAGCGGCCGCACGTGGATGCAGGAGCGGATTATCTCCCCGACGTCGGCTCACTGAGTCTTAGAGATGAGACGGGCAGAGTCCCTTTGGCCAACACCGCAGAAGGAGACAAACGCAGAAAGGAGACGCAGGTTCGAAGCCTCGACGTGAAGGAGACGCCCAAGGGGAGGGCCAGAGACAGCGCCATCGGTGTCTGTCTTAGCGAAGACGTTGTGAGAACACAGGATTTCGCCCTTCACAACCGCGTGAAGGAAGTCTCGCATTCTAGCGGAATGCAAGGAGAGCGCGGCATAGACACTGCTACGCCTCCGCCTTCCGCTGTCCCGCTTCCACCTTCACCAAGGCAGTCCCCTTCTCCGTCAGCTGTCCCGCTTCCACCATCACCAAGGCAATCACCTCATCCTTCAACGAAGACGGAGTCCCAAACCCAGAGCCAGACGCAGACGCGAGACGAAGCCAACGGCAACGCACACGTCCGCGCAGACGCAGATAGGACACGGCATCTCGGCACCGACCGATGGTTTCCTCTTAGTAGTACATAGTAGACATAGCAGCTGCAGGGCTGGGGGTTAGACAAAGGTGTGTGTCTCGGAAGCGGGAGCGGTAGCGGTAATTGCATTTCCATTTGCATTTACAGAGCCGAATTTGCATTTGCGTTTGCATTTGCATTTGCATTGCCATTCCCATTTCAATTTGCATTTCCAGTGCATTTCCACCCCCACTCTCTTCATTTCATCAAGCACGTAGGCGTCGAGATACAGAACCACAACAACATAGCCCAAGCCTACAAGCTCCATGCAGTACACAGCCCAATCCAAACCACCCAACCACCCAAACTCCAACCATGAGTGCTACCTACTACTACTAATCGCTTAGTAAAAGGTGCCGACAAAAATTCCATATAGCATGCCATGCAAAAAAAATCCACCATGTTAACTATTGCCATACCTATACCCTCCCAGATGCCCATCTATGTCCCATCAAAAAGGTCTTCTCCAAGCGTATATACAGACAGATATCAATGCTTGGACCCAAAATTCGTCAAAAACCATAATAAGAGTGAGTCCTCGCATCTGGCCAGACCAGATACAGGACCAGACAGACCGTTATGAGTCCAAATAATCCTACCAAGGGAACCGCAAAAAAGCAAAATAAAATCCTAATGAGACGAAGAGTAAAATGAGAAAATCAAAACCAAAGAAAAGGAGGAAGAAACAACTAAAGGCACAAGTGGTATCCAGCGCATAAAAAATCCCTTTTGATCCCAGGTAAAAAAATCCCAAATCTCCCAAAAGACATCCCAAGGCAAATACGACAGAGAAAGGGTTCCACGCGGTAGCAAAAGCCGGCCACGCACCAGTCAAGCCCACCGGGCGAATGGTCAAAGAATATGCTGAAACATGCAGAGAGGACTTTGCTTGCTCGCCATCAACAAGGAAAGAATAGAGACACGTAAAACGCTGGCCAACGAAGCGTAAACACAGTCCTACGAAGCCGATTCTATAGGGAACTAGAAAGAGAACAGAGGGGCAACAGCGCGTGGCCAGGCCTTTCCTGTTCTGGGGCATCCTATTGGGCCCACTCAGGGTTGGTTGTACTGCGCGTAGTAAGGGGACGGGTAAAGCGCGTCTTCCCTCCACGGATCGTCAATTGCCGCAACGTTGGGGAACCCGTTGTGCCAGTGGTTAAACAAGGGTATGGGTGGCCTAAAGTCGCCCAAATACTGCGCATTGGAGTACTCTGACTGCGGATGACCAACATTTTGCGACATGGCATGAGACGTACGCTGCGCCGATTCCGCATGATATTGTGGATACCCCGAGGCATGATGAGAGGAATCCGAGTGCTGGTAGCTCGTCGAAGGTCTGTACGGAGCTCCGTACACTGTTTGTGGAGTAACCGAGGGTCCCGAAGGGGCCGGGCTGATATATGGATGGCCGGAAGGCTCCGGATTTCCCACGGGCGTGTCGGGCGTACCGGACGAGACTGTGGTGTCCGATTTGACGGCATCCGATCTGTACCCATTGATGGCAGTGAAGGTTGCCGGCGGCGTGCCGTTTACAACGTCTGAACGGGATTGTGTTCGGGTCGGTAGCGTCTCAACTGGACGCCTGTTATCCACTTTGCCAAGTGCATGGATGGGTATGGGACCAAAGTCGTGGTCACCGTCCTCGTCGAGGAAAATACCTTCGTCATCTACGGAGGTTGTGGTATGCTCAGTGCCTTTCAGAAGTTTCGCATACAGTCTGTTGTACTCCTCGGCGCCGCCTCCTGTACCTCCCTCGCTCACGGGAAGGAGCCGATCATCGGTGGCACCGCCGCTACGATTTGACCCTCTCTCGGACTCGGTCCGCGCCTTGTAGTGCATCTCTTGCTCGGTCTTGAGGTGGCGATCCCACTTCACTAGATACTTCCAGTTGTCAGCCGTGCGTTTCCATCTCCCACGCCTTGCGTTGAGAATGGCGAGACTGTTGGAGATGTCTTCTTTGGTGTAACCTTCATAGACCACCATATAGTGATAGTGTAAAGCGTACACGCCTGCGACTCGTCAGCCGCCTTCCGGTACATGGATGCAGCAGCAACGCCGCAACAACTACTTACCGCATTGCGCCAGTGAATATGCTGCGAACATCATCAGCGGCGTCTCTGGAAGTCTGTTCCACTTCTCGCTTCTATACAACAAATCGGTGAGGTCGTGGCAAGCCTTGAAGAGGTCACTAGCGCTCTTTTTCCAATAGTCTTCGTGACCAAATTGTTCAATCGGGAAAACGGGCGGGTCCAACGGACCGATGGGCCCGGTGCGCTCGCAGTTGATGGCATTGGCAGGTATGTACTCGCGGAGAGGCATCATTTTACAGATGAGGTGCAGCATGTGTATCAGGATATAGGGAGCGGATTCTTGCGTGACGAGGTAGGCATCATGGTTATTCGGTGTAAGCCGGAGCTGGTCTGGCAGTTTACGGCGCAGGGCATCCAGATGCTTGTTGAATTTGGTTAAAGTGGAGTCGGGATGCCACGGTGGTCTCGTTCCTTCGCTCCTGAGTTCATTTAGCGCTGGCAGAGATAGACGTCACGAGGGCGGACATACTTTCGCGTCTGGTTGATGAACCATTGATGAACCTCGCGATAAAGCTCCATGGCCCTAATGTAATGGCAGAGGGGCCCCTCGTCATTGCCCATCTCCCACTGTACCGAGCCGTCATTGCTGGTCAAGGTACTGTCACGACTCACGCTATGACGCCCAGTTCCGTTCTTGCAGTCCATGTCGTCCTCGGAACCGGTTATCTTGAGTTTTTCTAGTCGAGCAGTCTTGACAGGTTTGCCAAAGTTGAAAGCATTCTCGCTGCAGGGTAGTTGGATGGTTATGTCTTCGATGAAGATGCTGGTGGGACGATTTGTGCCTCCGCAGAGAGCTCGATCCATGATGAAGCAGGACCAGAAGGTTCGGCGCGTAATCTCGTCCTCGATGAATTGATCCTCTATGGATAGGCCAGATGCCTTCCTGTGATCCTTTTCCTTTTCCGGAACGACATTCAAGTTCAAGGCTTGGGCGCAGCGGATGGCATTTCCCACCCAAAGCCAGGCCTCGCCGCTAGCGTGGGCAAAGTTAAACAAACCAAGCATAAGCTGCGCCTGGATGCGCTCCCGGTTCGGCTCGTCGAACGGGTGACCTAGCTCGGCCTTGGCGGCTTTGTAGTAATACAGCGAGACTGCCCTGGCGCCCCTGGAACCCAGAGGGTGTTGCCTCACCAGCTCATCATGGAAGGGTGACGTGAGAGCCAGAAAGGCAAGCAAGACCATGGGGGGGAAATGGGAGCTGGGCGGCCTGGGCAGGGGGCGCCTAAAGGTCCTCGCATGTAAGAAGGGCAGGTCGGCATAGAACTGCTGTTCGAAGATGGCCCACTGGCAAGAGTCAGAGATGGGCGTGGGACGGCCTATGGAGAGGCACTCACAAGCCTAAGCCAGGTTTCGTGTGTTAGGATGGGAAGACTGAGCGGGTCGTCAAGCGAAGACAAGACGGAGCCTTCAGGAAGAGGTGCGGCAGAGATCAATGTCGATGTTTTCTTGTGACGCTTTCTCGGTGCCTACCGCGACTCAGCATGGCTTCTAGCAACAACTATGGGCTACATGGATGGGCAAAGGTGGTATTCTCTACAAGGAATGCGAGGCACGCACGGAGAGGCGTGAGAGGAATGCGAGGCATAGAGAGGCAGGAGATACAGAAGATACGGGACGGGCAGGAGAGGCAGGAGAGGCAAGAGACGACTCACCTCGGAGTCGGGGGTGGCGGTCGTGGGAGAGTCGGCGAGAGTGCTGTCTCTCCGGAGCTTTGGTGACTGTGAGGGCGGAGCGTAGACGCATTCGCGGCGACGCTGACGGCAGGCGGCGCATTGGGTATGGGGCCCATCGTTGACGCATTTAGTTTTGCTGGAACGGCATCTCTCGCATGCCACCGAAGCCCGCATGCGTGTCTTTTCGTCGTAGTGCACGAGGCCAGGACGGCTATCGGCTTGGGCGGGCACCAGTGGCCGTTTGGCGGTGAAGGGCGAGGCAGGGACGGTGGGCGGGGAGGTTTGCGCAGTGGAAGGCGAGACAAGAGGCACGGGAGAGGTGACGTTGGGATGGGGTTGAGGCGGATGGGGTGCCAATGCGGGCGGCCGCGGCTGCGGTGGTGCGGGCTGCTGGGGCGGCGGAGAGGGCGGAGAGGCGGGGCCGCCCGCGACCGAGACGCGTTGAGCAGGAATTTTGGCGGTGGTGTTGGACCCGTTGGACGAGCGAGCGGAGTGGAAATGCAGTGTTCAGTGTCGCGAGGCGGAGAGGGAGACGGTCAACAGCGCGGGCAGCAGAGGCACAAGGTAGGGCTGACGAGCGGGCCGCAAGTCGCGCGGTGAAGGTGAGTTAAGATAAGGTTGGGTTGGAGAGGATGCAGTGAGGCCAATCAGCGGCTCCGGGGAGAGGTCGGAGCGGGCTCCGAGCAGCCGACGGGCGGGTGAACTGTGTAGCGTGGGCCTGGGCCTGGGCGCTGGATGATGGGAAGATGATGGCACTGATTATCGAGTTATGGAATGATGAAGCTGGTGACAGTGTTGCGCACGCAGCGAAGATGCGACGAGGGAGGAGGACGATGGGGCGATGACAAGGCGGCAGGGTGACGGAGGGGGGGTTGAATGAGGAAGGTCGAGGAACAGGTACCGTTGTTAGGCGTGAGTCCTGGAGAGGTGCTGACAGGCGGGGGGTGTTCGCAGGGCAGCTCCTGGGCAGCGCACGCAGCGCGGAATATTTAGGCAGGCAGGCAGAGACAGACAAACGGGGCAGGAGCGATGGGCGATATGTCCGCGGGCGACGGCGATGGCGATGGCGATTGTGACGGGCGACACAGGAAACACCAGAACACCACAAACACGACCGAGGACAGGACGCAGAGGTCGGATAAGAAGTCACAAGCGATCCCTTTGCAAAAAGGCTGGGCGCAGGCGCAGGTTAGCAGCAGCACGACACATGGGGAAATTTGGGGGATGCGGCAAGCCTCTCCCTCGGGTGGAGCGCAGCGGGAGACCTTTACCCACTTGTTGATGCGCGGTGCACCCTGCCGTCTGCGTAACGAGCAGATCGACCTCTGGACCAACATGCACCCTGGATTCCTGAGCATGGAACATGTTCATACTTTCATAGTCAGCAGTCCAACCCCTCCACCCCTCCAACCCTCTTCCCCTCCACTCCATGGACTCAACCGTCTGCAGACTATGCACACAGCCGTTTGTCTCAGCGCTGTAGCTACTTAGGTACCTACATCCATGTGCTGCATGTGTGCGCTGCCCCAAACAGACTGGCCGCCCGCCCTCAATGGCTGCGCTAAAGGGCCAGTTCGATAATCTTCATGGCTAGGCCAGGAAGAGGGACATCGGTTACTTACGCTGAGACGTGTCTGCTCTGTTCGCTCGTCTGCGCACATTTTCTGTCCTCATCGGTGAGAGCGCGCGCCAGTCACCGAGGCGCACAAATGCCGCGCTGCAGACACAGCAGCACCACTCTCGTCGCACAGAAGATTGCCCAGCTGCACCACGCTCAATCCAGCGCTGCCCTGGACCCATGCAGAACGAGCCCATGGGCCGAGCTGGGGAATGCAATGGATGTGAGCTGTCTCCTTCACGTGGCTCTAGCACTGATGCCCGTGAACACCTTGCTACACTTGGTTCCTATTTGAGCATCGTCCTCGCTAAATACCTCGGCGCGATCTAGAACTGATCAAAAGATATGGAGTCTCTACTCCGTACTGCCCGGACAACAAGCCAGATGATAACGTTCGAGTACCAGCGCTTGTTTTTCAGAGTGGATGTCACGTGACATGATTGGTCGCACCGCCGCATTCACTCTTACAGCCCGTGGCGTAGCTGTCACGTGAATCATTCTTGGTACCTGCTCCTCGGCGGTACCTTCAACGGCCGCAAGAAACACAGCTTCTCACGGCCTCCGAGGCTTCCAAGGTTCTCCTTGGATGGAAAGCGACGCAGGACTCGAGTATCGCTATACCCTTATCCGGCAGTCTACTTTACATCTCCTCTGAGAATGCCTACCCAGCTACTTGACCCAACTGGAGCGTCCCCGATCCCCCAGCGAAGCTGACGTGCAAGAAGCTGCACAAATAAACGTCACAGCATACAGACTTTATCTACGCTGTGAAGTATGGAACATGGCTCGCCTGCCTTGCTTGGGCCCTCTCATACTCCATGGACCAGTGCTCGTGGGAGTTCCATTTCAGCTTTGAGCATCACATCTCTCCCCCACCCCTCCCGATTAGTTCGTGCTCCCCGACCCCGGAGCCCCTTCACTCCGTCATTCCGTACACAGTGTGTGCATTGTGCCTCTGCTACTCATCGATTTTCTCTTTCTCGCCTTACCCCAAGTCACCACTACCCTCTGCTTGGCCTGCGGTCGCCTTCGCGCACAGCCTGTGGCTGAGACCGCCCCTCTACCTAGCCACTGCACCGTCCCCACTGCCCGTTTTGTCCGCACCTGAGCAACGCTACTTGTTTCCGCCCACCATCCTCCTGCACGCTTTCTCCTCGCTCTCCTCCATATCCCCCGACGGCCCCGCCACCGGACATCTCGTTCAGGCTCCTTCTGCCCTGCGCCGCTCGAGAGCCCACAAGGAGAATCTCCTGCTGCGCGTCACTCGGGGCCTCGTCGGGTGTCAACATTGCCCCCCGCCCGGCCCTCAGCCTGCCCTTCCCGCACCCCCCCCCGCGCCTCCCGAAGAAAGCAACCTCGTCAGGCCCTCTGAACCACCTCAGCACGCGACAACGCGTACCCGATAGACCGCCAAAATGGCTTCCAACATAGACGACACCATCGCCAATGTGCGTGAGAAGCTGGAGAAGGAGAAGGTCATTCTCAACTCCATCACCACGATGCGCAACTCGACCAGCAATCGCGACGTGCTCGACAGCCTCGAGGTGAAGCAGCGAGACAGCCGGCGGAATCTCGAGTATTTTCAAAAGACCCTAGCGGACCTGGAGATGAAGAAGATGGGCTCCGGCATGCACAACATGACTCTTGACGCCGGCGCGTCCAGGAAAGCGGGCAACCCTTTGACCCCCCCGCCCAAAGACGGCTGGAATGGATACATGGGACAGCCCCAGAGCGCCTATGGCGACTCGCAGGGTCCCCACAGCCACCTCAGTGGAGGATCTGGGTTGATGCCGCAGTCAGGTCCCTTTACACCCGGTGTACCGAACGCGCAGACCAAACGCGCACAGTATACCAAGCTTGGTATGTATTCGCCATCCCAGCAAGGATTCTCGGGGCTTTACTGACCTTAACAGAGTTACTGAAATATGATACCAACCTTATGGGGCCTCGGATACAGTTCATGCTTTCCCAACTCAATTTCAAGCGCACTGTCGAAGCCCAGTACAAAGCAGGCATTGACAAGATGGTCAAACTGTACTCGATGGAGGGAGACAGAAAGAGCAAGGCTGATGCCGAGGCAAAACGGATTGAAAGTACACAGAAACTGCGACTCTTGGACCAAGCTCTGAAACGATATGAGCAGCTCAACGTTGGCCTCATAGACGGTGCCGATGGAGGCGACGGTATGTATAGTCGTCTTTCCTCTCCCCAAACCCCCACGTCTAACCGCTTCACAGATGACAGTCTTAACATCCCGAACCAGAGGAAGACTTTGACTGGCCAAGTCAGCATTCAGGTCCATGCCGTAGCCGATCTCGAACATGCGCCCACGTCGCGCTATAGAGGAAACCCTGAGACTTATGTCGTCATCACCTGCGAGGACCACCCTACACCAATGAGCACGAGGCCTGCACCTAGCAAGGATGATCCCAAGAGAGGCCTCAAAGCTGGCCAATTCAGCGATGAAGCTTTCCGCTTTGATGTGGACAAGGCCAACGAGATTGAAATAACAGTCTATGACAGGGCTGGACACCAGACAACCCCCGTCGGCATCCTCTGGTTCCGGATTGCGGATCTCGCTGAAGAGGTGCGCCGCAAGAAGATCGAGATTGAACTGAATCAGTCTGGTTGGCGCAGGGCCGATCAACTTCAGCCCGACCTACAATTCCAACCACCCCCTAGTCAAGGCCATGGAGGAGCAGGTGCCCCAGGTCCCGGTGCTATGCAGCCAGGCCCCTCAGGCCCTTCCGCTGTGGCTCCAGCTCCCTCCATCACCAACTGGTATTCTCTCGAGCCAGTCGGACGCATTCAGCTGACTTTCTCGTTTGTGAAACATACCAAGAACAAGCAGCCCTTCGATCTCCGCCTTGGTCGCAAAGGTGCCATTCGCCAACGGAAGGAAGATGTACACGAGCAGTATGGCCACAAGTTCGTGCAGCAACAGTTTTACAACATCATGCGCTGCGCTCTATGCGGCGACTTCCTCAAGTATGGAACCGGCATGCAATGTTCGGACTGCAGATATACTTGCCATAAGAAGTGCTACACAAAGGTAGTCACAAAGTGCATTACCCAATCCAACGCCGAGACAGACCCAGACGAAGCGAAGCTCAACCACCGCATTCCCCACCGTTTCGAAAATACGACCATTATGGGCGCCTACTGGTGCTGTCACTGTGGCTATCTGCTTCCCCTCGGTAGAAACAAAGGCAAACAGTGCAAAGGTGGGCACTCTTTCTATGTACTTGTGAAATGAGTCTGACAACCGCAGAATGCTCCCTCTATTGTCATGCTGGCTGTGTCCACTTTGTCCCAGATTTCTGCGGTATGTCCATGGAGAAGGCTAACCAGATACTGATGGAAATCAAACGGACACGACGCGGCCAGTCAGCTTCAGGAACAACAATGACCTCACGGGTGCTCCGACCGCAGGGTGCTCAAAAACCCACTCCTCCCCCGCCGACGCAACCACAGTTCCTGCCCCCTCCTGGGCAAGAACAACAAGGTCAGCCAGAGAGATACTCTTACGGCAAAGACCAGCCCTATGGGGCGGCTCCAGGGCAGCCACCATATTCCCCCTCAGCAACGTCGGTCGATGCCGCACGCTCCTCGTACCGTACTTCTGGCTCGGGTCCAGCGCCAGCATCCCCTACTTCACAGCGTCCTCCATCCAACCGCTCTCAGACTTCGCAAACGACTCCTGCAGCTTCGGTTGCGGCGGCCGCTGCTGTGATGGGCAAAGGACCTGCCCCCCCTTATCAGCGAGCGCAATCTGATTACTCGCCTCCGGGCTCTCGAACCTCAGGGGGTTATCCTCAAGACCAGCGAGTCGCTCAGCAACAGCCGCCTCCCCAGGTAGGCTACGACCCTCGACTCTACGCAAATGTATCAAACACCCCCTACCCTCCCACTCACCATCAAACGCCCAGCCATGGAGCCCAGCAATACTACCCTCCACCTCCTGCCCAGGCCTCACCGCAGAAGCAAGTTCCGCTGGGCCAGCCACCACAGCCCATGCCTGAAATGGAACAACATGCTCCTCCGGTCAGCCAGCCCTTGTCGGCGATGACGAAAGCACCCGAGAACAAGGTCACGCCTGCAGCAGATACGAAAGGCACCGGCAGGAGGATCGGCCTGGATCATTTCAACTTCCTTGCCGTCCTGGGCAAAGGCAACTTTGGAAAGGTCATGTTGGCCGAGACAAAGACCACGAAGCAGCTATATGCCATCAAGGTTCTGAAAAAGGAGTTCATCATTGAGAACGACGAGGTGGAGAGTACGAGATCCGAGAAACGGGTGTTCCTAATCGCCAACAAGGAGCGCCACCCGTTCCTTCTGAATCTCCACGCCTGTTTCCAGACCGAAACAAGGGTTTACTTCGTCATGGAATACATCAGTGGCGGAGATCTCATGTTACACATTCAGCGAGGTCAATTCGGCCTCAAACGTGCACAGTATGTGTTCCTCAGTATGGGTACGGTTCGTTTCGGCTAACAGAATTCGCAGATTCTATGCAGCTGAAGTCTGTCTTGCGCTGAAGTACTTCCATGAGAATGGCGTCATTTATCGTGACCTGAAACTGGACAACATTCTCCTCACTCTTGATGGGCATATCAAGATTGGAGACTACGGTCTTTGCAAGGAAGACATGTGGTATGGTTCCACGACGAGCACATTTTGCGGTACTCCAGAATTCATGGCTCCTGAGGTCAGTCTCCTTTACACGCTTCTGGACTCCCTTACTGACATGGCATCTAGATCCTGCTCGACAAGAAATACGGTCGAGCAGTCGACTGGTGGGCTTTTGGCGTGCTTATCTACCAAATGCTACTACAGCAGTCTCCTTTCCGCGGAGAAGATGAAGACGAAATCTACGACGCCATTCTCGCCGACGAGCCTCTATACCCCATCCACATGCCTCGCGATTCCGTCTCCATTCTCCAGAAGCTCTTGACCAGAGAGCCGGAAAGACGACTTGGATCTGGGCCGACAGACGCACAGGAGATCATGAGCCATCCCTTCTTCAGAAACATCAACTGGGACGATGTCTACCACAAGAGGATACCGGCCCCTTTCATTCCTCAGATCTCCAATCCTACCGACACGAGCAATTTCGACACCGAATTTACCAGCGTGACTCCTGTTCTTACTCCCGTGCAATCCGGTATGTTTTGGACCTCTCTGTCGATGATTGCAGCCTGCTAACTTGTACTAGTTCTCTCGCAGGCCATGCAAGAAGAGTTCAGAGGATTTTCTTACTCGGCAGACTTCGTCTAGATGTGTCTTTCACGAGCTGTTATCACGATACCCAGCAATGAGATTTCAATCTTTGCATATGATAGGCGAGCGAGCACAAACGACACTTACGTTAGTACGGATGCATACTACCTGGATCAACGACACCGGGTTCAAACACGGATAGTCAAAAGAACAGCGCGCCCTGTGTCGCCGAAGACAAAGCCCTGTCGGTGGGCATCGGCAAGATTGAAGAGAAAAGCGCAGCGGGTTCCTGCGACCTGTACAAGAGGGGACCTGGACGAGAAGCGGTTGTTCCTACCTTTCTTGCTAGCTAGTTGGTTGTAATGTTGGAATAGGTTTCTGTTCTGGTTGGAAGCTGCAGGAGGCTGGCGGGCGGATGGGCTGGTTATAATATTCTTAGGCTGCTTTGCAGGACTTGATAGCGTCTAGGACTTGAGCATAGTTGAGGCGGAGGATTGGATTTCGTCTGGTTTTTTATTCCCCTTTTTCTTCTTCTCGTTCCTTCTACTTGCTTTTTGGTGCAGTGTTCCTTCTAGCTACTAGTTTGGTATTTTTTCCTCTACTACTTGATTCGCTCGCTTGTTAGGCATAACTTAATATTGATATCTATAAACTCTTGTTCGATTTGACGTGCATGGTGATTTTGCGTTTTGCTTTTTCTATCGAAGTGCTTTTGTCAGGGTTTGGCCGCTGGATGTAGATTGAAAAGGAGGTTAAACTGGTAGGGAGCGTGTAGTAGGCAACTATAATTGTCTACAAATACTCCGCCTAGTATGGAGAACCTTCTAGTTAAGGACGAGTGTCAGCGCCAAATCGCAGATAACGTCATCACATGGGTGCAATACAGCAAATCGGCTGTCTGAAACTTACGTAGGACTCCTTCCTGTACAGTCTTGGTCGTCGAATTAATCGAGCACTTTGTGTTATGGCTAAAATATTCACGGCGCATGCTTGCGGCGTAGCTCCCTCTGAAGTCTCCCAAGTCCCTCACTGCTCTCTATGGCTGACTGGCTTGTTCAGGTCCGCGCTGGTCCACAGATGGATTTCCGTGTGTGTGTTGGAATAGCAAAAGAGAGGAAACGCACAGACGAATTCTGTATACATTGTTCACTATTTATTTTGTAGAAAGCGCTCGTATGCCGGTTCGTGGAGGTGCACGTTTCTCGCTTCGCATGAGCTTCGCCTTCCCCGTCACACCCAACTCATCACCGAACCTGTTAACATCTAGGACTAAAGTTTGTCCGAGGGGTTGTTCACGCCCGTCAAATGCGCCAGTCCCATCAATGGCTTCCCTCCTGCGGTGGGCGTTGCGCGCGGGAAAACAAGCACCTTCACCGCCGCACCATTTTCCGAGGCCTGGCTACCGACTACCTGAGAATGCTCCGCCGATAGAGGAAGAGGTGTTTGCCCACTACTCTCCATCATTATTTTATCCTATCCGCATCGGGGAGGTGTTGAACGCCAGGTACCAAGTAGTCGGGAAACTGGGTTACGGAAGCAACTCCACCGTTTGGCTTTGCAGAGATTTAACGCAAGTTATCCCATGTTACTCGCTCTTCAATAGCAGCCAGCTGATTTTTCACAAGCGCACATAGTTATGTTACTGTAAAAGTGTGCAACGCCAGATCCTCCGAAAACGAGATTAAAGCATACACGCATCTCGACTCCATCAAGACGAATCACGCCGGCCGGTTACTAGTCCGCAAACTAGAGGACTCCTTTGAACTGAACGGTACCTCGGGAAAGTTCTCGTGCCTTGTTCATAAACCCCTCTCTGTCAGCCTACGACATCTTCGGAAAAAATGCTTGAATGAAAGAATGCCTCTTCCACTTTTGAAAGCCACCTTGGTTCACATTCTCATGGCACTTGACTTTTTACATTCCGAAGCGCACCTAATTCATACCGGTAGGTTATATTATACCTCATCGTTCGATAGGTCAGCAACACTGATTGATCCGATAACCACAGACTTGCAGGAAAAGAACATCATACTCGGCCTCGAGGACGACTCCGTCCTAAAAGCGTTTGAGAATGCTGAAAGGCAAGACCCAAGCCCGTACAGGTCTTATGGCGACCGCATCATCTACCGCTCCAGGGCGCTCGAAATGCCGAAGAAGCATGGTCGACCTACCATTACTGATTTCGGAGAGGCCCGATTCGGCCAGTCCGAGTACGACGACGATATACAGCCTTTTGAGTATCGTGCGCCCGAGGTAATATTCGCTGTACCATGGAGCTGCAAAGTAGATATCTGGAACGTCGGCGTCTTGGTTAGTGAGCAGAACGAAACTGACTCCAGGGTGTAGGTTGTCGTCTGCTGACCATTCTACAGACCTGGGACCTTTTCGAGGGTAAGAACTTGTTTAGGACCAAAGGACCTGATGGGGAAGATAGCACTCCGCTTCATGTTGCACAGATGATTGCGCTTCTAGGCCCGCCACCTACGGAGTTGTTGCAGAGAAGCCCTAGGATATCTGAATTCTTCGATGCAGAAGGTGAGTTGGTGCCGTGCCTTTGTTCGAGCCCTGCTCCTATCGTGTTTTCCCCTGCCGCCTCTGAGCAAACAGTACACTATTAAGTAGATTTTTTTAACTTATGCGTCGGCAGGGAAATGGAAAGGACTGGCCACGATACCGCAAACGAGCTTGGAGGATTTGGAAGAAAACCTCCACGGAGAGGAGAAGACGCGATTTCTTATCTTTGTTAGAAAGATGCTGCAGTGGAATGCCGAAGACAGACCTTCTGCTAGAGAGTTACTAGAGGATCCCTGGTTCGATAAAGAGTAGATATTCGGGATCTTTAGATAACAGTATAAGGTTATATGTAGACTAGCGGCCTGTAATTTCATCAAGTTTTCTAGGGTTCTTCAACTGGCTCGCACCTCTAGGCCAAAATATACCGCATCGCTCTACCGAATTTTGCATTTCCCAGGATTGATCCAATCTCAATATCTATTAGTGAAAGATTCGCTTTTACAGACGCAACCAGCCTGAAGAAGGCAGCAGTGGCCGAGCCTGCATATTGAAGCTCCTAGGAGCGGGCACAGTGGTGTGGTTCAGCCGCACTTCTGGACCTCGCGGTTACCCTTAGCAATGGATCTAGTAGTCCCGTCATCCATCCGATATTGCGATTCACGCCATCCAGAACCCTTTAGACCTTTTCCTGCTACATGTACTTGATTCCACGCATTCAGAGACTCAAGGACAACCCAACTAAAGCCGAAACTCCTCCGCCGAAAGAGAAATCATCTGCCCAGAATATATTGACGATGGAAGCCAAAGCGCTTTATGGACCGGCCCTTCCGATAGGGCTCCAGCCTCGCACTATTCGACTGCTTTCAATCGATCCTCCTTGCGACGAGAGCCATCTCACAGGCAGTCTTGAAGTTGCGGAACTCAAACCGGGGTTGGACCACACAGCGATGTCCTAAACATAGGCTGATCCAAAGACCTACGAGTACAATAGTATCAAGGGATACAAGATCGGAATTCGCCGAAAATGCCAATGAGCTCCTGCGTCACCTATGAAAAGAGGGAAAGGGACAGCGGATCTGGCTTGATGCCTGGTGTCTGGATCAACCAACCTAAGGGGAAAGGAAGAACAGGTTTCGCGAATGGCGGATGTATACAGTTTTGCACCCGCGCACGTGCACATGGCTTGGTATGGCTGCGGATGAGAGTGACTTGGCCATGGACCCCGTTGAAGGGGGTCTGCGAAAGGGATTTTGAGAACGGCTCTCCAGACTACGAGTCCTGGAACAGATAGGTAGCACACCACAAGCTTTTCCGACGGCAGTGGTGGACGCGGGTATGGATTGTGCAGGAAGCGATATTGTCGCCGAGTCCGGTCGAGAGATGCGGCTACAAAGAGGTCCCACTAGAGAGATTCGTCGGTTATGAATATTAACGTACGGAGCATTGTGGGCGACGGGCAGCGAACATCGCCAAGTCCGGAATACTTGCCTTAAGCAGCTATTACAGTACGCCGTACAAAAGCATGTTGTGGAGAGAGAGATATCAAAGAATGGCTGAATGGACCATTGTCTTGGTGGTATGAGAGTATGCAGAGTTTCAACGCAACCGAACGAAAGGACAGTGTCTACGGCATCCTTAGTTTGCTCCGAGAAGAAAGCCGACGATTTATCACGGTGGACTAAACTACTAAATCCGACGCGGAGGTCTGCATCGAGGCTGGAGTATTTCTTTTAAAGGAGTCGGGATTCTGCGACTTGCCCTACGCACATTCAGCTGGCGTAGGGGACGAAGCATTCCCATCGTGGTGTCCAGAGTGGAGGAAATCCCCGTCGGTCAATGTCATAGCGTACTATTACCACGTCGGCTTTTGCAAACTAAAAAGCCCCTAAAAGGCACTCTACGGGTTTAGTGTATGACATCGTATTACCAGAAGACGCCAGAAGACGACGCCGATGAGCTCGGCACAGAGTCAACCATGCGATTCTCACCCGATATGCGGACTTTGGCGGGCGTGTGTCGTTCATACTTTGTCGGCTACCGAGTGTAGATGATGATCAGAACCGGCAAAGCGGTAAGATTAGCATGACCGATAGAAATGTTTTCGGTGGATCTTGGAGATATGTAGGGGACTGTTATATTCATGGCGTAATGGATGGTGAGTGTACAGAGGCTGTAGATCTTAGTGCACTAGAGGAGTTTTGGATCAGATAGACGCACGTATTTGATTGGAACATGCTATCAGGCGCTCCTTCAAAGCCTATAACGAGCCGTGATCGACATGGTGCCTGCGGGGAACAGTGCGACGGCGTCAATATTGGAGCACTTGTCGTACAAGTGTTCCGTAGTTTTGTGCTCTAAAATTTTAAGGACGTATCCCTAGCTTCACTTTCCTTTTTCTCTAGTGATTACCTCCACCATAATAAGCACTTTTAGGTCTACTCTGCGGGTTCATTTGAGCATGGCGTCGTTCAAACCATCGAGCAATGTGACAGGCAATTTGATCAAACTACCAATATCATCACTAAAGAAGCAAACGGCATATGTAGATGGTACAAAAGAGTTAGGAGAGAATCTATCGCCAAGTTCATTCAACAAGTAGCATTTTGGAACCGTTCACCAGCGATTAGGAACTACGGGTATAGCATAAGCAATACAGACTGCAACAGATAACTACCGAACGGAGCCTAAGCGGTGCTACTATGTTCCTCCCAAACCCCCAGGCAGAGGGCTACTTCCCTCCTACAGGGTCCTCCAGGAGCATAGTTCGGCTTTCAATTCACCTTGCTCAACCCGACGCTGCAACCGTCCGCACCGGCGTATTGAGCAAGCCGGGAAATAATCTCGATTGGGTTATGGCGTCGTGTGGGCCGACTGGTGACAGCATAATAACCCGCACACGTCCGGGGATCAATAGATTTTCATCCCAGCTCTCTCATGAAAGCACCCCGTCTTCACGGACCTGACCTTCTGTGGCTAAGAACAACCATACAAACGACATCTACCACATACGACCACAGCAACCAGAGAATTGAGCCTCTCGTCCGATCGACTGTACACAAGCTGGTTAGCGCCCGTCTAGTAGTACCGTGGGAGACCAGGTGCGAATCGCGTGGTGTTGTATGTTTTTGTTTTGAGGCGTCTTTTTTTCGTGGTAGTCTAGTAGGCGAAGCTATACTGATTTTGTGGATTAGGGTGGAGACGGGAGTGGGACTTGACGAGGCGAGAACATCTCATTCGTGGGAATGAGTCAGGAACAAGATGATGATAGCGTTCTCCCCTGATGTTGCGTCCAGAGAGAGCGTGAAACAGCTCTCTGTACGGGTCATGTGCTGAATCACTAGTATGTGCTGGAGGAGTAAGTACATGCAGAGGGACCCGAAGTTTGGAATTGTAGGACCTCGTTGCCGAGGGGGAATGGTGAGTCATTTTTCGTTGTGCAACAAGCTGCGTTGCTATTCTACGGTGTGGCTGTGGGTATTGGGGTAGATATCATGGTAAATCGGTACAGTGACTATTCACATACGAATAGCTGTTTTGCACCTATAGCAAGTGTTCGTATAGGAAAACTGTTTAGCGTTGCAGGTTGGACAATTCCAAGGCGCGCTGGACGGATACGGGTCGTCATATTCTCCATGAGCGTCGTACGCTCCGGAATGAGGCGCTTGAGGCGGAGTAGGTGATGCTCCTATGTGCTCTTTTATAGCGTACCTAGACTTTGAATCAGCTGTTTGGTATATTTATCTCCAATTTATCTCCAATGTAGGTGTTTAAAATTGGAAATTTAGGACAAAACAGAGGAAATCAGCTGACCAAACATTTGCACAATCCATTTTCTTCTCGAAATGGATTGACATAAGCTGACTCGCGGAATTCATCCACATAATCACAGTGTCTGAGAGAAAGTCAGTTACATTTCCATAGTACTTGCTATTCTCGGTTGTTCTCTTCTGTAGTTTTTGTTTTTGGACTTGGTTGCTATTTCGCGGTAGAGACAGGCAACATACCTGCTGATAACGTGTACTCGTGCCCCCGCTCTATCTTTTGCATAAGTATAGAATCTTCAGGCGCATCCTCGGAGTCGACTTCCATCCACAAATCTTCCTGTCGGATGAGTTCCATTAGTCATTTCAACAATCATTGCTCAAGCACACCTGATATGGGGCAATATCCTAATCTTGGGGGAAGCACAGCAGGTAGTACTCGCAGCTATAGTATTGTGGGGTCATCATTCCAAGGGGCTAGAGAAAAGATCCTCTTACTCACATTTATAGATCGCACTGTAACATTACCAGCGCCTCTTTTAATCCAGCCCTCGTCTCTGAAGGCGAACACCTCGCAGCGTTTGATCGCGAGCTTGGGATTCATCAAACGCACCCGCCGGAACTTCCGAATATTGGATGCCTCCTCATCTCCTCGCGCCCTTTTTCGCAGCGGTGCGCGGACCCGCCACGCGGTCATCCACCCTGGGAAATCTTGGAATTCCTCTGGGGGCTCATTCTTCTGAAAAAGGGGTAGGAAAGATGGTTGCATTGTCCGCGTTAACTCGGTAACGCGTTGGAAAGTAGTGCCACAGTTTGAACTGCAAGACATCAGCCTCATAAGGGGAATGAAGTCCATAATGATAGCGGGCACTTACCATACCACCTCCTTGTCAGTGGGACCCGAAGACCTGCAACCGCAGGATGGACATGAAGTTCCCCTCGATAGGCTATTGAAGACCATGCTCATAGCCACTCGGTCTCCAGGAAAGAAACAAGTATCCCAATCCGCTTGAAGATCAACATCACTCTGCATTCCTGCCTTCCGAATGGCAAATGCGCCTCTGTCAATCATTGCTGGCCCGCAACCACTAGCCTTGAGATTCACCTTGAGAATAGCGATTAAAGCCTCTGCCAATCGCACGAATTCGAGATGAAACGGACTCTCCCTCCCGAAAGCATCGATCATATATACTGGCTGCTGCCGCTGAACCTGGGTTGGTAACCGGAAAATGAATTGCTGAATGTCATACACCATTTGGAATATCCGAAGATTCATCTGAAGGACTTTTGCGCTCGATTCAAGAAGGAGCTTCCCCTGCTGGACACTTTGCGCCACACTATTTGTTAATGTTGACAGTCTCGTCATCCATTGACATGACAGATCTTCTATCTTCCCAGCGAGAGTTTTGTTCCGCTGATCCTGCTGACGTGCCCGTATAGACGTAAGATTCATCTGCACCGTAACCAGCAAGATCTCAATGGAACTTGTATGGCCTCTCAAGTTCGCCTTGAACTTCTCCAAGTCGTCCTTCTTACATAATGCCCACTTGATTTTCACCCAACCATCTTTCACTCTCGAACCAGTCCCACCATCTCTCAAGTGGGACTGGTATGCTTGAATCCTCTTCCAGAACTCATCAATCGTCCTCTGACATTGTGCGGCAGCCTGCCGAAGTGCGACCTTCTCTGCATACTGTGACTCGTCCAGCTCGACACGTTTGACATGTATAAGCGCGGTCTCAAGGTGAAGGAGCTCATTGAGAAGGTCCCGATAGTCGCTGGAGGCACTGGACGATTCGCGGAGCGCGTCGATGACTGTTCCAACGAGGCGAAGGGCGGCGAGGAAGTCTCCGACAGAGAACCCAAAGCCGACGGACATGGGTGGACCGAGAAGCTATTCTCTAAAACCCTAAACAGTATCGTTGCGTATATGGTGCCGTTATAAACTAGGAGAGTAAGAAAGAAAGTGAGCTGTGTAATAACAAAGCTGGAAGTTGAATTGCTGCCTCAAGCCAACGGGATGCGGCTGAACCAAGCTTGGCGACTCGACGAGGCTGAGCAGAATTGGTGCAAGAGCATCTTCTTCTCTGATCGGGTTGGGCTTATACAAGGTTGGAATCATTGCGGTCAGTTTCGTCCTTGTAGCTCCTGATCATATGAACGATTTCCACATCGACTAAATGGGAGCGGCTTGCTGCAGTAAACTATAAGCTGTGAGAGAAAGTGTCTCTTTTCAGGTTTGTGGTTATATGGCGACTTGAGACGAGAGAGACTCCGTATCCTAGCGAATGAAGTACACAATACTTGAGGGCGTACCAGCTCGACAGAGAGGAGGTTAAACCTAGTTGTGGCGAGTGTATGTACTATCGTGTATGCGTGAAGACGTCTTGTGCCGAATAGAGAAATAGGAAGAACAATTGAGGTGCGCTGTGCATGCGAATACCTGCATGCTTGGAAGAAATGACCTGCTTAGGGGTAGGGTACTTCGATGCAACGTTCGTATATGCACGTAATCTATATTGTATTGAGTTGAGGGAGACGTCCTGTACAAGGGGTGAAATCATGAAAACCGCGCCTGCCGCGGAGATGCCGACTACTTGCCGTGTCTCTAAACCCTCATTGTACCTGAGGGACATACCACAGTAAAGTGTCGGTGTCGTGCACGAAGATGACTAGGTCCCCTGAAATCGGTACGTATCTGCCCATTAGTCACCCTACGTGAGTTTCACCAACCCCTCGAAAAGTTTCGAACGCTCATGAGACACACTTGAGGAGATAATGCCACCACAATCGAGATCAATCTGCGGAATCATCCGACTGCGGTGCTGAGGCTCGGGGCCGAGGTGAGTTGAGATGTTTAATGCCTCATTCGGCACCAACGCTGCGGCCGACGTGGATGTCCACATCAGGAGTCAGCATAGAAATCCAGAACATAACGTCCCAGTGGCGGGACTTGAAGCCGGACGTGAGGGATGTTGCTCGATAATCCCCGGGACGACCGTACTGTGTAATTGTGACTGGTGACATGGGACGGCGCCATGGAGGAGTTACCCTAAGTTCGTAAGCTTCGGTCCCATTATTTTTGCACATTTGCTGCGTACCTGATTTCGCTGGATTGGATGGGAAAGTACTCCGAGAAGGCAGCCCCAAGTATCCAATCCATGTTTCTCAGATAATAGTGGCATGCAGTATCTCATTTTGCCGTGCGTTGCGTTCGTTTAGAGCGGACCGGAGCGGTTGACTTGCGAGTTGACACGAACCCGCTACCCGCCGCGTCAGAGACCCGCTGTGCTCTTTGGGCATCATACAATCGTGGATACGCCTGTCTCCCGATGTTGCTCATGCGGCGTTGTCAGGAAACCAGTGCGACATCTGGATCAAACAACTCCTGCACGTGCGATACCGTGCTGACTCAGGCAACGCCCAACATCACCCTGCGCCCATTTTAGCGATGTTTGCCACCCACTTTATGAAGCTCTACAGCACAATATATATGTTGTAGATGCTACATTTTTTGCAGGAGTAAATAAGAAAGCTTGACAATTCAGTTACAATAAATAAATTATGTGCAATAGCGTTGTGGGGGGAGAATTTTGCGGGTGCGTGTCTCCCTAGCCACTACATCATCCGTACACACTACATCTTCTCCAACAGCCTTAGGGGTTGTAGTAGATTCCAAAAGTAAAGGCATTCTTTTATTACACCTACTGCCCTTCTTAGGAGTTTGTAGGTCCTGGCGGAGCTGTTTTTCGAGTTGTTTTTGGATACGGGCCTCCTCACGCTCAATCGCCTTCACCTTCTGCTGTTGAAGGCGGATTTCTTTAGCTGCTATCCGTAGTCGTGCACGCTCTTCCTGTAGT